GGAAAAAACAAGCAAATGCCAACTTTGAGTGCTATATGAATGACTAAACAGGCTTTCCAAGACATTTCCAGCTTGCTGCTCTCTAACTCTAGAAAATCTACAGGCTTGCGCCTGTAGCTTAGCAGCTAGGGTGCCAACCACATACACCAGAACTGGTGGGTTCGTATCCAGCCCAGGCCTGCCAAACAACAACAACTACAGTCAAAAATTAGCTGGGCATTGTGGCGGGCACCTGTAGTTCCAGGTACTTGGGAGGCTGAGGCAAGAGAACCACTTATGCCCAAGAGTTTGAGGTTACAGTGAACTGTGATGCCACCACACTGAGCTGTGATGCCACTGCACTCTACCGAGGGTGATGTAGTGAGACTGTCGCAAAAAAAAAAAAAGAACAAACAAATCTCAAGTTGGGGACTGTTCCTCAGGCCTAAAATCCCAGTGACTCTGGGGGTAAGGGAGAAGGACTACTTGAGGCCACAAGTTTTGAGACCAGCCTAGGCATAATGACTCCCTCTCTCTCTAAAAATTTTAATTTAGCTGAGCGTGGTGGTACACTCTTATAGTTCTAGCTACTCAGGAAGCTGAGGCAGAAGGACAGCCTGAGTCCAGGAGTTTGAGGCTGCAGTGAGCTATGATCTTACCCCAGCTCTCCAGCTTAGGTAACCAAGCAAGACCCTATCTCTTAAAATAAATGTCATTGATAAAGTAATAAAAATTATTAATTGTATTAATTCTTACATTTCTGTCAAAGAACTTTTCTTTTTTTTGAGACGGAGTCTCAAGCTGTCTCCCTGGGTAGAGTGCTGTAGCATCACTCACAGCAATCTCCAACTCCTGGGCTCAAGCGAGTCTCCTGCCTCTGCCTCCCAAGTAGCTGGGACCACAGGCGCCCGCCACAACACCTGGCTATTTTTTTGGTTGCAGCCATCATTGTTGTTTGGCAGGCTGGGGCTGGATCTGAACCCGCCACCTTAGGTGTATGTGGCTGGCGCCTTAGCCACTTGAGCCATAGGCGCCAAGCCAACTTTTTTTTTTTTTTTTTTTTTTTGGAGACTCAGTCACCTTGGGTAGAGTGCCATACATCATAGCTCGCACCAACCTCTTAACTCTTGGGCTCAAGCAATCCTCTTATCTCAGCTTCCTTGATCTCAGCTGGGACGACAGGAGCCTGCCACAGCAACCCACTAGTTTTTCTACTCTTAGTACAGACCAGGGTGTCGCTCTTCTTGGTCTGGAACTCATGAGCTCAAGCAATTCACCTGTCTGGGCCTCCCAGATTGCTAGGATTATAGGTGGGAGCCACCATGCCTGGCCTGGAGCTATATATATTTAAGAAATAATTTTTATTTCCCTACTACAAAAATTGCAAGCATTTCCACTACACTGAATTAAGTACAAGCTCTTCCACATGACAAAACAAAATTAGTATTTAGTTAATTATTGTTTACAAGGAACAACTCCTCCCATCAATTCATATTTATGTGTCATCACATCTATCAGTGAAATGGAAAAATATGTAGAATCACATAGCATCACTTTTTCTGAAAAAACTCATTGGACTATAGGCACATACCACCACACCCACTAACATCGCATTTAATAATATCAATTCAACAATTCATTTACAAGTTCTTTTGCCCTTTCCACAAAAATAGAGAGATTGCTTGATTTATCCAATGACCTATCCCCTTTCAAATAACATCTTGACTTCTTTTATGCCAGAGAAAAGGAGGCTACCACAAGCGATGAATGTAGAAATTAACAGCAGTGACTCTAGGACTCAAATCTTCAGCTTCCCAAAACCAGTTCTTAAATATTTAAGAGTGTTTCTTGGATAATTTATTTTAACAAAGGCAACTTATTAACTGAGTTTAAAAACAAACACTACAGCTGGGCATGGTGGCTCACGCCTATAATCCTAACACGGAGGTGGGTGGATTGCTTTGAACTCAGGAGTTGGAGACCAGCCTTCTTAAGAAGAGCAAGACCCCTGGGAGGCCAAGGCGGGTGGATAGCCTAAGCTCACGAGTTTGAGACCAGTTAGAGCAAAAGTGAGACCCCTGTCTCTACTAAAAATAGATAAACTAGGCTCAGCACCTATAGCTCAGCCCCAGCCTGCCAAACAACAATGACAACTACAACAAAAAAATAGCTGGACATTGTGGTGGGTGCCCAGGCTGCCTGTAGTCCTAGGTACTTGGGAGGCTGAGGCAAGAGAATTAATTGCTTAAGCCCAAGAGTTTGAGGTTATTCTTGGGTTGAGCTGTGATGCCAGGTCACTCTACCAAGGGTGACATAGTGAGACTGTCTTTAAAAAAAAAAAAAAAAAGACCCTTTC